GCAGCCCAGCCAGGCGGAGGGGCCCCTCACCTATTGGAACAAGAGTAATGAGGGAATGAGTTGGATGCAGGAGAGTTTGTAGGTTTAGTGGCAAGGAGTTAGGGAGTTCCCACCTGATGCTTTCTATGTTCTCTTTGAAGGAGGAGGCATGACCTCGGGAGGCAGTAAGTGTTGGAAGAGAGACTTGAGGAGGGAGCAGAAGTTTGGGAAAGAGGGCTATGGTGGTGTGAGCATGTCGAGGCTGGGATGGTGAAGCATGGTGGTAGCTGTGTGTTTGCCTCGGGCTTGTTCGTAGCCTGGTACAGGTGTAAGAAGGGGGGCATTTGATTCATGCAGGATTGAGGGGGTGCTGGGCAAATGATGAAAAGGATGGGTCCAAACCAAATAGGAAAGGAGGTGAAGAAAAGGGAGGAGGTGGTCTTCAGAAATGATGAATTCAAAGAACTAAGGGGTCAAGATGCTGAGAGGGGTGCCAAAGAGACCCAGAGGATGGCAAGATGCTCAGTTCCCCGGGGCAGGTGGCATTTGGCAGGGACAGTGAGGGGGGAGGGGCCTGTGGCCAGAGGGTGTGGCTGTGGAAGCAGGGAGATCCTCATAAAGGATGAAGGAGGACTAGGATGGTATCTTCAGAGCCGAGCCAGGTTCTAAGGGCAGGAAGAGGGCGAAATGTGCTGTGACGAGGCAGGAAATATTGAAGAGTTTGTGCACCATTGAACCACCGCAGGGGGCAGTGGGAAGGTTTGGGAGGGCGGGCACAGTGTGAGGTTGGGTTGAGGGAAAGGACACATAAAGCAGCCCATGGAGAAGGCGGAGCAGTGGGAGGAGTCTGGCATTTGGCGGGTGAGACTCGGTGGGCTTAGCCGATCCCAGCCTGGCCGGGAGTGGTAGTCCAGCTCTCCAGCTGGTACCCAGGCGCTCCTGGAGCCAACTGTGTCCTGGATGGAGGACAGTGCAGAGCACGTGCGCCTCAGGGGATGTGGAGAGAGTGGTGGTACCGCTGACAGCCTCCTTAATCTTGCACTCGTCTCATGGGGCATTTCTCTTCCTGCTGTCAGATTTGTTTTGAAAACAAATGTGGGTCAGTGGCCTGTCAACAGCCTCTTGCGCAGATCTTTATGCCGAGCGTGGTCCTCAGCCCTGCCTGCCGGGAGAATCGCCGGGGAGTTTCGGTCCATACGATTGCCGGGTCCCCAGACCAACGGCCTCAGAACCTGTGGAGGGGAGGCCTCTGGCGTCTGTGCAGTTAACTTTCTTAAAGGCTCCACTCGCCACTCTAACGGGTGCGGAACCTCAGCGTGGGCCTCTGCCTCCCAGTCATGTGGTCCGTCCATCAGCAGCGCATGGGCATCCCCTGGGAGTGGGATAGAAAGGCGGAACCTCGGGCCTCACCCCTGACCAGCTCCTGAGTCAGAGCCTGCACTGTAATGAGCGCTCCTTCCCCGGGTGAGACCTGCGCCTGTAAACAGGGCTGACGCCGGGGTCCCACCTCTGAAGATCCTGGCTTTACTGGTCTGGGCCTGGGAATGGGGATTTTTAAAGGCTGCCCAGGTATTTCTCATGTTTAGCCAAGTTCAAGATCCCTGCCTTAGAGCATCCATCCAGCAAAGTCAGGAAAGGTGCCCGGGTGCTTTTATTCACCTGGTGGATCAACCCCGTCTGTGTTTAATGGTTTCTGACCTTTTCTTTAACTTACCAACGAACTCCATGTGCTTTTCATTGGGGGCAACACTGCCCGTCTTAAACTTGTGGCCGGAACATCATTTCTCCTCATTTTCAAAGACGCTACTGGGAGACATGGTAACTGATAAGACAGGAAATACCGCACAACCCATAAGGCTTGTTGCATAAGGACTGGTTCATTTATTAAAGGAAAAAAGGTGTTGGCCATAGAACCATCATTACTGAGTGCCGATCAGCTCCTTATAAAATTGAGAAGCACAATATTCCTGATTAGTTATTTCTGTCGTCCTTTCTAAGACCCTGGGTGAAAATGATCCTTAAAGCACTCTACAGCGTTCAAGCCAACTGATTGCACCGTCAAATGGCGGTAATTGGTTTGCTGAAGTGTTAGGTTACTGCTATTGTGTGGATTAAGATATGGCAAGTGTTACTTTAGGCCTGTCTCCAAAATGTAATTCCTGCTTAAAAGTGAGTTTTTCAAAGAACAAGCTTTGACACGGGTCTTAGGAAACCATTGTGCTGTGTAAGTCTTGAAGGGAAACATTTATGTAAAGCACCTCGCTCAGACCACACGTCACTCCCACATTTGAATATCAAATCGCCCCTTTTCACGTAGGTGGCTACCTCTCAGGGAGAATAGAATGTTATTATAATTGAAGACTTTCCCCAACTTTTTCTTTCTCACTTCAGAGTCAGACATATGAATGTATGAATCACTCTCCACCACTGGTGACTGAAATTTGGTTTAGGAATTATTAAAACTGCATTGGTGCCAAGATAAAAAAGTACTGCTTTTCAAGCTTTTATTTAAAAAAAATATATCAATGGTCTTTTCAGGTTTCAGACAACATCGATTTTGCCTCCATTAGACTTGACAGAAGTCTACAAGAAAGTCATTTTTTAAATTCAATAATGAACTATTCAGTGGATTCATTATGGTTTGAGTTCCACAAGATCATTTTTTTTAAAGAAGCCAAATGAAAACTATCAAGAATTGAAAAAAAAAATCTCCGTGTTCTCTGAGTGGGCCCAGCCCTGGAACAGCCCCTTCCCCCCCGCCCTGGGGCCTCAGGCACATGTCTTTAACACTTCCCTTTCTAGTAGCTCCAGGTGACGTGTATTCTAGATTCCACTCAAGGGCAGATGAAAGGGCTTCCTAAGCATCAGGAGGCCCTTCGCTGAAGTCAGCAGGAGGGAGGAGGGGCAGGGGGAGGGGGCCTCTCCTAACTGTGCTGGAGTCGGTCTGTGACAGCAAAGGGAGGAAGTCTTGTCACAGAAGAGAGAATCCTGCTCCTCCCTCACCTGGCACTGGTCACTGTGGCATTGTCCTGAGGGCCATACGGAGGGAGGCTGAATTCGCAATTTAGTTGGAACTTAAAATGTCACAGAAAGATTCAATTATTAAATTTGCGCAGACGGATGGTTGAGACCGGGATTCACGTCTTGTGCGTTATGACCTGTACACTCATAGGTCAGTGATGAATTGTAAAATGTCACGAAATCGGGTCAATTGAATTCCCAGGACTCTGCTTGGACACACAGTGTCCACTACAGCACATGAATGATGAAAATGGCAAGAAGGGAGAATTGGACTTTATTATTGTGGTCATATGTACACTGACTGGCAAGCTCGCGAATGTTTGTTTCACTACTGAAGCATGGCATCTCCGGTATTTATAATGGAAGTCCACATAATCGCGTGCTGATGAAATCACCTCAAATGACCCCACGCGGAGAGTAAGAAGTTGCTGCCAGGCAAACTTCGCCATGTTTCCCGCCCTTGGAGTTAACTTCTCGTGTCTTAAAATCATCCTTTCTACCAGGCACTCGTGGTTTCCTGAAACTATAGCTTTAAAAGGATCAGTCACTCATTGATTGACCAACTAACTTTTGGGGGGGATTTACACAAGGCCTCTCCTGAAGCCCCAAATCCTGTGTTAGTGAGCACTCTGATCAACCCTATACGATGCAAATACAACCAAATCGTTTGCCTGCTTGAAATACTGAGCGGCTTCCCACCATCCACAAAACCACGTCCAAACTCTGACCCTGAAAAATCCCTCCTCTACCTGTGTTCTGACCTTACCTGCCATTACTGCTTCGCCTTTAGCCTAGACGTCCACGCCTTCTCACATACTGTTCCTCCAGCGGGAACTGTTCCGTCTGGAAACGGCTGTGTATCTTTCCAGCGTCACCTTCAGTTTCATCTTCTCAGTTCTCGTGTGGTTCACTCTGTTCGCCTCTTTGCTCACAGCGACAATGGGTGATAACTCCTGCCTCCTTCCGGACGGAGCTCCTGGAATGCTGGGCCCGTGGGTGGCTCTTCCTCTTTGTCGACATCCCACTCGGAGCAGTGCCTGGTACACCTGGTGGCCACTCCCCAGAGAGTTAACAAGTGAATGGGTGTCCCCCCCACCCAAGTGTCTAAGTTAGTGACCAGGGCAGAGCTTGGCAATGGGAAAGCCTGACCTCTCTCTGAGCCAGGCGAGGGGCCTGCGCTTCCTTTCCAGCTCCAAGGGATGTTAGCTCTGTGCCTGTAAGTATGTCTGCAACGTGGCGTGGCGTGATGGTCAGTGTTAACCTGGAGGCCTAAGTGTGATATGTAAGTCACAGGTAAATTCTCCTAAAATTCTGAAGTCCATTTTGCAGTTTAGGGTATAGTTTCTAACACCAAGTGCTACTCTCCAAGAAAACCTTCTCTTACGGATGTGAATGCATCATTTGCAAATATTAAGTTTAAAGAAAGGGCACAAAATGCAGAGCCATGTATTGTCTTAAAATAACTGTATTATGCATATTAAAGCATGCAGCTTTCCTCTCCAGCGTGATTGCTTTGTTTGATCAAATTGAAAGTTGGGTTTTCTATTTTGGCCTTATGAAGAAATGAAATGGTTCCATTATAGCAAATAGAAGCTCGATAATGGCTTGATTCAAGTTTTAATTGGAATGCTGGTCTCAGAATATTTTAGCATTCCAGTCCTATTCCTAGATATTGCGTCTTCAAATAGAGGCTATGAGCTGGGACCGGGTTACCATCCTCGTAGGACTTGAGTTGCTGGAATCTCAGGAGAATGTCAAACCAAGACTCTTGTCTGAGGCAGAGAGGAAGCTGTTCTGCTGTGAGCTCAAGGGAAACATTGAGCTCACAGCAGGTCCCCATAGAAACAAAACACTAAGAAAAATATCCCCGGAGGTTTGATCTCAACTCCTCTTGGACAGGCAGCCTTTGGAGACTGATAAGCAAATAGCAATTAGCTCTGCTCCCTTTGTTCCTGAAGTGGGCTGCGTGCACCGTCAAAATCCTTTTTCTTTTTCTTCAGGCTTCCTGACAGCCATGCGGCAAGAAGTGACCCGCGCCCACAAAGGCTGGGCCCTGGACTCGGTGACCATCCACAATGAAGTTCTGCGGCAGACCAAGGAGGAGATCGTGGCACCCCCTGCGGTAGGCGCCCCGGGCAACGACAGCTGGAGCTGGGGCACAAGTTCAAGTTCTGCCTAAAGCTGTCCTGTGTGCACCTCAGTCCAGTCTGCTGGCTTTGCAGCCCGGGTTCCCTCGTTTGCAACCAGAACAAGCCCTGGGAACTCGTTTCTTTATGATTACAGGTCACACGGTGTTTGCGAGGAAGGGGTGTCCAGCTACTGCTGTGGCTGCTTGGGGAATGGGCGAGTGTCAGGGCCCTGGTAGAGACTAACAGGACCGGCAGGCCTGGGTGCTGGGCCAGTTCCACCTGCAGGACCCCGGATGGGGCACAGGGAGGGGCTGGGGGGGGGAGCAGACTCCCTTGGGAGCCACTGTTTGTGTTATTGGAGAAATGCATGGATGGTCTTTCTCTGTTGCTGGTGGGAGTGGGGATCTTGGGGTGCCACTGGAATAAGCATTTCTGGAGGCCCCCACGGGAGGATGGGATGCGGTAGAAAGCTCTATTTGCATGGAATTACATCCTTGGGTTTCCAAAGTCCCATTTCCCTGAATCTGGTCCTGGAACATGTGCAATTGAGGATTCAGCAGAGCTAGAAGCCAGCATCCAAAGTTTCCTTTCCATGGTGGAATGGGGTCCGGTTTAGGCTGGTTGTAGCCCATTAGTCCACTATGTGTGTGGTCCACATGGCCATGTGCAGGAGCGCGAGCGTCCCACAGGCCAGCATCGCGAACCAAGAGGCAAGAGCCAAACTCCTCTGTTTAGGACCTTACGTATCTCAAATATTCCCACCCTTGCAGTGGCCACACCTATTCTGGCCAATGAACTGTTCCCAGGTGTGATTGACAGGCTAGTACCTTCCCTGCGCCACCCAGACTTTACTGGGCACGTGTCTCTTCCTCCTCTGTCCAGTCCGGTGGCTCCCTGGAGAGTGTTAAACCACAGCTTCCCGGCAAAGATGCACAGATAACTGTGATATCCGGCCTTCCCTCTGCTTCTTTCCTGTTCATTAATGACTGGGTTCATTTCCAAAGGCATCTTACCTGGACACTTACCTGCTTTCTGAACTCGGACACGTTCTTTACCTTTTTGAGCCTCAACTTCTCCAACTATAAAATGAGGAGGGTACCCCAACCTCAGGAAGGTGGTTGTGAGAGTTTAGTGGGATCATTAGGCTTGGTCCCCGACCCCACGTAGACACTCAATACATATTCGTCCCCTTTTCTCTCTCTCTGACTTTCACTCCCTCAGCTGTCCGGTGAGGGAAGGACCATGAGACTCCCCAGGCCTGGCCCCTCTGCCCCTCTGTAACAAGGACCTCCTTCCCTCTGGCTTCCAGGAGTGTGGTCTTTCCTCCTGCCTGAGGTCTCACCAGAGCACCTTTAGTCTCTGTCCAGCAGCAACAGGCTTGTCCTGTCACGGGCCTCAGAGCTCTCTCAGCTTCTTCCCGTTATGCGATGCAAAGTCAGGTCCACGGTATTAGGTGTCTGGTCAGCAGCACCCCGTTTCCGGGTACCCAGATCTGCATGAGTTTCCTAGGGCTGTGGTCATGAAGTACCACAGGGACTTAAAACAATAGAAATTTATTCTCTCATAGCCCAGGGGGCCAGGAGCCTGAAGCCAAGGGGCTGGCAGGGTTGCTTTCCTGTGAAGGCTGTGAAGGAGAATCCGAACCTCCTCCCCCCGCCTCTCCTACTAGCTTCGGGGGGTTCCACCATCCTTGGCTTCCTTGACCTGTGGCTGCATCACTCGATGCTCCGCCTCCACTGTCAGTGGCCTTCTCCCTGTGTGCATCTCCGTGTTCCTCTCCTCTTCTTGGGAGAACACCAGCCAGAAGGAACTTGCCTCTTTCCAATCCGTACGACCTTAACTAGTTACATCTGCAAAGAACCTATTTCTGAATAGTCACGTTCTAAGGGTCTGGGTGGACATGGATTTGGGGGTGACACTGTTCAACCCACGGCACCTTCTAACTACGGCTTTGTAAGGTTCTGAGATGGACAGCAGCCTTGAAGGGTGCAGTTTCCTGTCGGATGGTACCTAAGTGGCTGTTGTTCGCACAGCAACCATCATCCAGCAGCTAATGATGTTCTGATCCCATGGGCTTGCCCCTGGGTTTACTGTCAAACCAAGTACCTCAGTTTTAGATTCAATAAAGGCGGCCCTCGTCCTGTTAGAAAACACTCTGCAATAATCTTGCTGGCTTTTATTATCATTACTAGAGGCCCAGTGCATGAAATTCATGCATGGGGGGATCCCCTCAGCCCAGCCTGCACCCTCTCAAATCCGGGACCCCTCGGGGGATGTCCGACTGCCAGTTTAGGCCCGATCCCCGGCAGTCGGACATCCCTCTCGCAATCCTGGACCGCTGGCTCCTAATCGCTCACCTGCCTGCCTGCCTGGTCACCCCTAACTGCCCCCCCCCGCCGGCCTGGTTACCTCTTACTGCCTCTGCATGCCGGCCTGGTCACCCTAACTGCCCCCCCCACCAGCCTAGTTGCCCCTCACCGCTCCCTCTTGCCAGCCTGATCACCCAACTGCCCCGCCTTGCTGGCCTGGGTACCCCAACTGCACCCCCCCTGC